TTTCCCCTTCATGCACAACGCTGCCAGTGTGCAGCGGTCCACTTCCTGATCACGTGCTACTTCCTGCTTCAGTGTCACTGGCAGCAGGACTTTGAACGGCTCCAGTAGTCCAGAATGAGAGTCCTGCTTGTGGTTTTGGTTTCGTCCTGAGCGCTGCGTTTCTCATCTTGTGTCATTTGGTTGATTCTGAGCAACACCAGCTTCAGGTTTCTTTGGGATTCATGAAGTCTCTCTTATCTTAACATGTAATAGGCATGCGCAGTACGATCAGCGTTGGGAACCTTTATGTTCTGATTAATCCGTATCTTAATTAGATTCTGCAGGATTCAACAACTCTCACCTGAATTTTTACACCACACCTACACCACACCTTCTCCGCGCGTCATCACCTGTCATCCAATCAGGACGCGCTTCTCTCTTCCTGCTGGCGTATTTCTGTCGGTGTGGACCAATCGGGACGAGCGGAGCACTTTGTCACTGAGAAATCAAAGTTGTTGTAAGAGCGCGCGTTTGTGTGTGCGCGCGCGAGGCTCAGAGAAACTGGCCGGTGCGCGAGAGGAGAGGAGCGAGCGGCGGACAGAAGAAGGAGAAGAAAGGAGAAGAAGGAGAAGAAGGAGAAGGAGAAGTGAGCAAAGCGAGCGGCGGCAGCTCCAGCGGAGGCTCCTGTTCCTCCCTCAGGTCCTCCTGCGGTCCTTCAGAGCTGAAGCGGCGCGTTTTCGACGGAATATCTGGTGACACGTGAAGCGACTCCCGGCTGGACGCTGGGAGGTGAGTGTGAGCGGCTCCTGCCTCTCCTCCTCCTCCTTTATGTCTGATCAGCCCCACAGCGCGTAGATCCTCTCCGCCCCGCTTCTGTCGCCGTGGACTTTGACTTTGGCTCAGTTTTCTGATCCAAGATGACGGAAATCAGCGAGAAAGAAAACGAACCGCAGAACCTGCACCGACCGGCGGCCACCGTGCCCAGCCAGCAGGAATCAAAGGTAACGGCACACCTGTGTGGCTCCGGAAGCTGCTTGTGGTTTTTCAGACTAAAGCAAGACGAGCAGTTTGTGGAGCTGAATTCAGTCTGTATATTCAGATTTTGTTTGCTTGAGCTGTGAACACACACTGTGACTAAGTGTGTGTTCAGTGGTTCGGTTCCGAGCCTCAGCAGCAGGCGGGTCTTACATAACAGCCCTAAGCCGCGTTAATTCTTGTAACGACTCTAACCTCAGAGTTAAAGGGCAGATTACACGGAGGTGTGCGAGCTGAGGCATGGTCCATAGAAACAAGACAGACTGTTGTCCTCCGGAGCTGAAACCTCGCTTCACTTCTACGTATGTGATCTGTGGAAATGTTTCTGTGCTTCAGTCTGAGGGAACATCTGTCTGATCTGTTTGCACATGCAGGAAGCATGATAGAGGAGACATGCTGCCTGCTCTTCCCTTCATTATGGTCCATGTCCTCTATCCACTGCCAGTTGTTTGATTAAACACATCTCAGGACACGTGTGGCTAATGCATGGCTACAGATCACAAAGAAAGTCTTTACGTTTTCTGCTCCAGCCACTTGGAAAAGTCTGTAACAGGAATTGAACCCTTTAATGTACGTCTTTCCCAATTTATTGCCCATTGAAGAGCTTTAATGTGGTTCAGATCACTGACTGTTCGTGGACTGGCTGCCCCTCAGGTCTACATGGTTTGGATGGACGGTGTGTTTGTGATGGAGGCTCAGTGCTTGTTATGAGGTGAAATAATGAATCTAGTATCTCACCCCTTGATGCTACAACCGTTGTTTTTAGGCTTGTTTTAGTAACATTTCCTGGATGTTGCTGTCATTTCATGAGCTGGCTTGTTCTGTAGTATTTGCAGCCTTTTCTGCTGCTGTCTTGGCCACATGCCCTTTAGCAGGACCGATGCCAAAGTAGAACAAGAAGCACAAAACCAGAAAGGTAAAGATCATGAAACTTCCACCTTTGATAGGATCAAGATCAGAGGGTGAAGCAGCAGCATAGCAGGGACTTAATCATGTTAGCTGATGATGGTCCGTACACTCAAACACGTAAGAATACTTTTGAAGCTCTTGCCCTGGAGTCTGTGGGCCTCAGGGTGGTTGTCTGCTTTGCTGCTCATCCAGAGGGATGCAGCCTCAGTTCAGTTTTGAAGTGTTTTCCTTTTATAACCAGAAAAACGGTCTTGCTATCGCTGATTGATTTTTCTTGACAAACGCGGAGCTGAACTTCCCACTTCCTGACTAGCCCTAAATCTCCTGCATCACGTGTTTTTAACGCTCCCAGTAAAGAAGGAACCTTACTGCAGCAGATCTCACATTGTGGTCTTCTGTGTTGGTCGTCACCGTGGGGACTTGGAACGAGCAGGACATGCGTCTTGCTGCTGCTGTTTGACTAAAGACAGCACAATGGATGGTGCGCAGTGAGGTGCTGTGTGAATTTATGAGCCAATCAGCTGGCAGATGTTTGCTGTGTCTAGCTAGGGGCTGGGTCATATTTCACACAAATGGTCGTCCAGACAAAACAGAAGTGGGAGGAAGCAGTCCTGTGAGCTGCGTCGGCCGTGGAGCTCTGCTGTGTGCCCTGCTGGGGCGTCCCGCAGAATCAAGAGGGAAACATTACATCTATGTTACTACTGGGGTTTCTTTAAGAGTCGTGTGCTTGAGGGTATCTCGAGAGCTTCACTTGATTCTTTCTGTCACTCTCCATCTTCTCATTTCGCTCTACTCGTTTCTAACAGTGTCTATCTTCTGCTGTCTCTTTCCAACTTCCCCTCGCCGCCTCTCTGCAATCTTTCTCGTCTCTTCATCAGCTCTCCTTCATGTCTCACTCATCTCCGTCTCCGTCTCTCCACCGTCCCTCGGCTCCCAGAGTATTTATTACAGAGCTAAGTAGGCCCACCAGCCTCCTAATAGAGGCAGTGACAGAGAAGGAATAGTTATTCCACCTCCTCCACCTACAGGCAAGGTGATTACTCCAAATGTTATTATTCCTCTCTAGTCACTTGGAGCACATGTCTGTCAAGTGTCTTGCATTTAGGAATGTGTTCTTACAAGCTCAGCAACACATTCACATCTATCTAAAGCTAAAGCTAAAGCTAGCAGCCATTTAGTTTAGCATGGAGACTGAAAACAGGGAAAGTTTGTCCAAAAGTGACAAAGTCATCAAAGTTAATCCTGCCAGCGCCTCCAAGACTCCCTAATATTCTTTTCTATCTTGCTGGTCTTATCTGTAGCACATGTCATTGCAGCATCTGTGGTTTTACTCCAAGCTCAAAAGCCTGCATCTCTTTACTGCACCGGTCCTAAGAACAATCACTTATCTGTAAGATGACGAGTTCTTGGCCAGCAGCAGTTACGAGGCAACCAGTGGGATTGATAGAAATGACTGGCCATGGCCAAGAAACAGTCTTGTACACAAAGCCAGTCATATTGTCCAAGTTACTGACATTGTCACACCTCCGTGTTTGCCTGGATGAGGCAGACACGGATCTGGTAATTAGTGAGCTCTGGAGGTGTTGGCAGGTGTGTTTTGTTACCTGTCAACAGAGCCAGCCGACATGTTTCTCCCATTTCCATGCTCAGTTAAACCAGCAGGCTGTTTGCTGTAGGTTTATATTCACTTAGTACCATGACGGTGGCGTTCATGATGTGTAGAACTGACCAGTGTATCGGTAGGCCAATACTGGCTTTGTACAGAAATCTCTGTATGAAATATATGAATATGAAAGCTTTTCTTAACCCAAAATGATGCCTGCAATATATAGAAATGGTGTCATCAGCACTGTGTGCAGCACATGTAGCAGACCACATATCACAGCTGAGCAGGTGGTGGTGCGGAGCCCACCGAAACATCGTCATGGAAAACTGCCAGCTCGTTTGTGAAATACATTGCTGGAAAGGTAATAAACATTGACCCGTCTTTCTCCTCCTAAATAATTCCAGGATATACATATGAGTGTGTATATAGAAAGACTAGAATATATACTAGTACTGATTTTTTTTCCCCCCTAAAAGTCGATACAGGCATCAATCACAAATCGTCTCATCTGTTGTTCGAAAGGAGAGCGAAGAAGCTCGTTCCCCAAAGTGTCAGACAATTCTTTTAAACTCCACATTGCTTCGTGGAGGATGAGATGAGAGCTGTACTCAGAATCAGCCGCTACATAAAGTTTCATATTCACCAAAGACAGTGGGTGTAAATGCTGATAATGCAAGCTAGTGCTGTGCCCTGGTCCGCAGGGCCTGCACACGGCTCGCCGCATTTCAGCCAACACAAAGACATTTTTATGGAGGTGAAATGATGGCAGCAGCTTCTGTCCGACTTTGCCCTTCACATTCATTTCTCATTTCTCACTAACTTCCTTATCAGCTGTCTTCTGTTTTTGCTTCCCACCTAAAACGTGCTTTTCCTGTTTAGTCTGGCGCCTTTAAGTGAACTTCTCCACCCATACTTCATGTCTTTCTCTTTGTGTTTCTCCTCTACCATAGCTCTTGCTTGCTCATCTTTCTGCATTGCTCTGAGTGGCTGGCTGGTGGTACTCGCCTGAGTGCTTGAAAGGATAAAGGTAATTTAAGAATAGGATGGCCAGCCAGAGGTCCTGCCAGGAATAAGAGAATGAGCACGAGGAGAAAAGCAAAAGAGAGAACATAAGAAACAACAAAAGAGAGGAGAATGCCAAGTGACAGTGAACACAATATTGTACAAGAGCAGAAGTCATTTGGCTAAATCAAGCTGCAGTCTGGACTCATTCTTAAGACTTGGCCATTTCACTTTTTTCCCTTCTGAGTTCATTTTTTAATTTATTTTTTATGATTCCAGCTCAGAAAACAAACCATTATACACTAAATTGTAGTTGCACATCGGAGAAGATGCTAATTTTCACCATTTAGATCTTTAACAGTGGAAACTAAACTTGACTTTTGTGATGTGCACCAGCATGCGTCTGTAGCCGTCATGTAATTATGTCGCGCCTCCTTGTTTGTTTCCGTATCGCTGTTCGGACGAGGATGCATCACTCTGTCACTGACTCCAGACAGACTGATATGTTGTGTTCGCCTGCCAGAATGATGGACTTTCCTGCTGCCTTTGAAACAAACTGTAGTCTGCACAGAAAACAGATGAATCTCTGTGTTGTTGGTGATAAAACAAACTCTTTGTTCTGTACAGTGTCACCGCTGTGCGTTTGCACCCGGTGTTGACCTGGCATTGTTCTGATTGATGATGAAGTCACTGAATTACTGTCCTTGATTGAGTTCAGCTGATCCAGCAGCGTCCTGTGTGCAGTGTCAGGGTTAGGGTGGCGTCAGCTGGGAGTAAGAATGCACTTTGTTTAGTAGCGACCTCAGTCTGCTGCTTCAGTGACACTGAAGTTATTTTCTCTGTAAAACATGAAGCTGTTGACGTAATGGAGTACCTCTCATCCTTAGCTTTGAATAGCAGATGTTCCTTGAAGAATCCTGAAAAGGGAACACATGTGAGTGAATGCTTAACGCATTAAGTTGCTTAGCAACTATGATGTGACTTTTAACTTCTTAAGAGTCCTGCTCGTTAGCCACTGGCATTGAAAAAATAATAATAATAGAAAAAAGGCTTGACTGACGTGGAAGCCTGCTCTACCAGCCACAGAAGGTTCTGCTGTGAATGCGACTGATCTTGTTCCTCTTTGCTTTTTATTTGAATCGACTCACAAAGACATCGTTCCATGTAGCGTGGGACTACCCGGTCTCCCACTTAAATGTGGAATAGCTACGCAAGTCCACAGTGCAAACGGAAGTCTTTTTACAAAAAGGCTTTACGATTATGAGATACTTCCGTTTTTTAGAGGCCATTCTTACACTTGCATGTGCCTCCCTTACAACCTAGAAAACAAGCAGAGCTTTGTGCTTGGTGTTTATTAGTGTGTATTTTAGTCCAAAGCATCTCTGAACCAGAAGGTTTATAGTGTAGAACAAAGCAAACAGTGACTGAAATGAAACACCAACTTTGTTG